GCATCCAAACACCCAAACTATACCATTTTCCAGCCAAACAAATGAAAACCCACTAAGAATTGCTTCTTTGCCAACTGCTTCTTTTCTTTTCATTTTCATTTTGAACATATAACAAACAGAATAATCTCGCAAACCAACATGTAACAAAAAACAAAAAGGCAAAAAAGTGGAGCTGGGTTCCACAAGAACCTAGCCAACTGGGTTCCTCGAACCCAGCTGATCTGGGTTCCGGTGAAACCCAGCAACCGGAACCCAGCAGACATATAGGAAGAAGAGTAAGAAAGAAGAGGAAGAAAGAAAAAGAAAAAGAAGAAAGGAAGAAGATGATCGAAAGAGGGGAAGAAGATGGATAAAAAAGGGGAGAGGGGTAAATTTGTAATTTTCTATTTTTGTATTAAGGCAAAATTGGTTGATGAGTTAGCAGTGAGTTGGCACTGACGTGGCTAAAAAAAAATTCCAGATCAACGTTTTTTAAAATTATTTTTGCTGCATCATAAAAAAAAATTATAAAAAATGCCACATAAGCGAGTTAACGGCCCAAATTAATAGAAGGACTAACGGAGTGCATTTCGTATAGTTAAGGGATCAAAAAAGTGCAAAAAATTGTTAAGGGACCAAAAATGTGCAACTCACTAAAGTTGAGGGACCAAATTTAGCATTTAACCTTCAGACAAGTATCAAGATAATGAGGATTTCAATAATCATTATCCATTTTTGAATTTCAGTTTCAAGAACAAGTACAAAACAATCTCAAGAAGGATTCAAGATGGATTTCAAGAGTTTTAAGCAATTCCAGGTATCAAGAATGTAGAGATTGGCAACAATAGAGAGTTTAACTTTATGACAACTTGCCAATCTTCACAAAACAAGGCAATTTCAATTGAATGATCACTGCTCTTGATTAACCAATATAGAAAAATGAGCCACATGAAAAGACCATGAAGCTCCAAATGGAAAAAGTGAAATTTCACTATAAGACTTTCAGAAAATAAGGAGCAACGGAATTACCAAGTAATCCAGCTCCTAAAACGCAGCTAGAGAACACACAACTTTTGCTAAAATAGCATTAAATCTCTTACAAAGTAGAGGGTTGCCCATCTTCCACTGGTCATGTAACAAGCAAAACAAATTCTCCACCAGCTATGCTGTAGAGATCAACAAGATCAATAGCAAAAAAATCTCTGCAACTCCCCAGATTTTACAATTGTGGCAAAAGAGTAGACAAAAATTCTATTCACGTAACAAGTCTAAACAAGTGCGGACAATCAGAAAATGACCAAGTTCAAAACAAGGTCTTCAGGACATAATGGGCAAGATTACTTTCACAACTTCACACAGAGTATGAAGGCAAGAAACAAGAACAATCAGATCACCATCTCATCGAAATGGATGAGAAAATTCAGGCAACATGAATCAGAATTGTCCCTTATATAACCCCATCACTTGTCTCACCATGGTTCTAAAATCAATTGGCTAGCCAAGTCCAAAACAAATCCTAAGTATTCAATTAAACCTAGGTATTCAATCAAATCTAAGCTCTGATACCACTCAATCTGCTCTAATGCCACTCAATCTGGAGGTGCTTAATTTAATCCAAAACTCTTAATTTAAACCAAGCTCTGATACCACTAAATCTTAATCAAACCTAAGCTCTGATACCACTAAATCTGTCACGCCCCAAAACCCAAATTTGAGGCGCGACAGACACCGTGCACTCGTGATACGAGTCCCACAAATGCACAAGGCTCGGAACTTATCAAATTCACACTCTGATACCATCAAAATCTGAAGATCAAATCTTTAAAATCTCTCTGATATCATAAATCTCCAAATACACTCTAGCTTACAAGATCACGATCTCTAGAATCTAAATCAATCTCGAAATAGCTAGCCTTCTAACTCGTCACTTCCCGTGGTTTCCCCGTCCTCGATTTCACGTCCTGAAATGGTGGATAAGGAAAAACTATGAGATAAACTCAGTAAGTAAATATGGAGTGCCCCTTATCAAACTTAAAGCATGCCAACAAGTACAATCACGAAAACAGATACAGTACGGGCACGAAATAGACGTCTCCTCTATAGGTCACGGCCAGTGTATAATCCCCACTAGCAGGGCCACGATTTGCTGGTGTATAACCCCCACTAGCTGGGTTGAATGAACCGGCTCTATCACTAACATGTCGACATGTACTAGCGTTTGTAACCTCCCCCACTAGCGGGGTCACGAATAACATATCGACAGGTGCCGACATGTGCTAGTGTTTATAACCTCCCCCACTAGCAGGGTCACGAATAACATGACCACATCGGAGACAAAATAGGCAAAAGTTAAGAGGAAAATCACAATTCACAATCACTTTCAGATCATCAGGACAGTCACTTAAATTTCAAGTAGGCATGCTCAATTTCATGAAAAGCACAAAATATTTCACTTCAAATCAGTCATACTTGTGTAAAACGGGTTTAGTCCCGCCACCACTTCAAAAACAAATCAAAACATGCTTTTAAAACAGTACGGGCATTACCATAAATTTACTTACCTCACTCCGCAAAACCGAGTACTCAATTCACGTACTAAACTGATAGGACGATCAAGAACCTAATCAAGATATTTCGAGAATTAATACCACTATCACAAATTCAAGGTAAACTCATCATTAGGATCATTCCTAATCACAATGCTATTTCCATAAATCTTCACATGATCAAATATCTCCAAAATCGTTCTCATATCACAAACTAATCCTTTAAATTCCCGTTAATTGTTGGCCCTCGGGGTGTGAACAGTGTCCATGAATAGTACTCATGAACAGTACCCATGACGTGAACAGTAACCCCGACTTTCACAAATTGGCCAAAACACTAGCTAATTCCACAGGATTTTCTCCAAAAATCACACAACAATCTAAATCAAGCTAATTTACACTTAAACCAAGCTTAAAACATGCTCAAAGGCTACCGGAATTTCCCCCATTTTTCCAACACAATTCGGACATACAAGGCAGCAAACTAAATGGACAATTTAAGCCTTAAAAGGCTGTCACATACCATAATTCTCCAGCTAAAACCGGAGCTGCAGATTGGGGAAGGCCGGCGGGATCTGCAGGGGGAAGCTCACGGAACTACCCAAAATTGGAGGAACAAGAGCAATCAAAGTTAACCCAAGCCAATTCAAGCAAGAACAAAGGAATTAGGGGCTGTTCTTACCCAAAAAAATGCCCAGAAATCACCCACAATCAAGAGCAGCCGGCGGAAGGACAAAGCAGAGCAGGGCAGATCCGGCTTTTCCAGCAGGGGGGAAGATTTCTGGGTTCTAGGTGTGTTCTAGAGCAAGAAAGGAAGGAGAAAACCAAGCTTATCTCACCGGTTTCTCAAAGGCATGGCTGGGTTCCCCATTTTTTTTCCTCTCGGGCTGCAACGGGAAGAAGAGCAGAATCGGGCAAGGCTGGGAAGAAAAGAAAGAAAGAAAAAGAAAAAGAAAAGAAGTCATCCTTATCCAAAATCTTTTCCTCTTTAAGTCCCTCAACTTTCAGAGTATTCACATTAGGACCCAAAACAATCTTTTCTCACAATCAAGTCCTTAACTTACACTTAAATATTCTCGAAAATTTGGGGTATTACAGTATTCGAGGCTTCACCTCGACTAATCCGGACCTGACCCATGTCGCGCACCTGGAAATGGTGGGTGAGTCTCCCAGCGGGAGCTGCTGCATACATAAGGGCTCGAACTCGAGACCTTACTTAAACTGAAACAAGCCGCTTACCACTTGATCCAACCCCCTCGTTGGTTGTATATATATATATTAGAAAAGGTGTAGTCTGTCCTAGGCAGACTACACTTAACCATTGATAGAGAGAGCATGCCTCGTGATATTGGGGGCCACCCTACCATTAATAGTTAATTGTTTTGTAGTCCATGAAGAATTGACTGCTAAACACCATTTTGTATGTATAAAGATTAATATTTATCAGTTGGATTTGTGAAAATTTTAGAGAGATAATATTATAAAATTACATTATTTTAACAACTCTCATTAAAAAAACTAAATAGCTTATTTTTTAAGTAAGAATAAAAATGTTTTAGTCTTTTGTATGGTATTTTTTTGGAATGATGTAGTTTTAAAATATTTTTTCTCATTTTTTTTGAAACTTTGCCTAATAATACTAATCTCATATACGTGCGTGTGTAAGAGAGAAAAAGGATTAAGTTACTTATATACGAGTAAGGTTTAAGTTTCACATAATTTTTAAACGAAATCTTCACCAGATATTAAAAATGTAATATGCTGAAAGAATCAACATTGGTCACCTTCTCATTGAGATGAACTAGAAGCCAAAAACATTGCCTCACACAACATTCCTTCCCGTCTTCAGAATCTAAATTCACTTAGAGCCTCATCCAATCCACTGCAGCATTCTTTCTTACATTTTTGCTTAATTCTTTCTAACAATTTAAGACTTTTGACTACAAAAAATCCATTTAACCTTTTGATTTTCCAAATTTGAATAAAGAACTCTGAGACTTATAAAAATCATTAAATCCTGCCATTAAATATGACTGACTTGGCTACAGATTTAGTTATTAAAAAAAAAAAAAACTTATAACTGTTGAAAGAGGAATATATCTCAGAATGTGGGTTGGTTCCCCTTTGTCGATATTTATTGTTTTGGGTGTAATGGAAGCCAAACTACAAATTTGATTTTTCAAAAAATAATTTAAAAATGAGTTTTATTTTTAAAAAATATTAAAATAGTGTATCAGTCATGTGATCATATTCAATTCTAAGCCAATTTAAACACAAAACTAAGTCCATCTTGGAATGGATCATCATCAGTACTACCGAGATAAAGCATTCATAAGAAATTAACTTCTTAACATAATCAACAATATGGGTAACAAACCAATTAGTAGATATCAATTAACTTAAGAATGAAATGGAAGAAGAGTAAACTGAGCAAGGGCACCCATATGGCGCACAAACTATTCAGGACTTTGTTACTCCTCAGTCAAAGCACCTCTTTGTGTCTGCTGCTTTATTATATATATGTATGTATATGAATATGGCAAAACCCTCAAATCCACTCTTAAAAAATATTGGTAGGGACAGATCCACCCTTCACAAACATGGAGAAACAAATTGTCCCTCCAAATCATAAATCAAGACAAATCATTTATTTTTTAAACTTTTTCAATAAAAAATGTTGACATGACAAACAACATTTTCATGTTTTTTGTTAAAAAATGAGTGATTTGTCTTGATTTATAATTTAGAGGGGTAATTTATCCCTCCATTTTTGTAAGTGATAGGTCTATCTTTATCAATATTTTTTAAGGGTAGATTTAAGGGTTCTATCTATGAGCATAGGATTTCACATTTAAATTATTAATTTTAAAAATGCAGGAGGTTGAAAGACTTGTTGGACGTTATCATAAAGTTGCTAAAAATGATCATGGTGAAACTGCTTACCAAGTTTTTGCTAGAGAGCACAAGGGTTTGTTTAAAGGAGCAGAGGATTGGAAGAAACAATTAGCGAAATCATATATAATTGTTGGCACTCTCATCATCACCGTAATGTTCGCAGCAGCTTTCACCCTTCCTGGGGGTAACAATCAAACTGAGGGCTTTCCAATATTCAAAGACAAACCGGCATTTATGGTATACATAATATCCGATGCAATCTCTCTTTTTGCTGCAGCGGCCTCAGTATTAATATTTTTGGGATTACTCACATCACGTTGCGACCTGGAAGATTTCCCCAAATCTATTCCTAATAAGTTGATGGGTGGGCTTTCTACATTGTTTATATCTCTTGCAGCAATGATGGTAGCATTTTGCTCGGCTATCTTTCTCATGCAAGAAAACCGATGGTGGATTATCATGCCATCTGCGTTGCTTGCAGGCATTCCAGTCAGCTTGTCTGCGTGGTTGCAGTTTCCTTTGCTGGTTGAAATTTATGTTTTGACTTACAGATCACCAATTTTCGAGGAGAAAACATCCTTAGCAAGCAAAATAAAAGCGCTCTTCTGTTGGAAAGAGAAGATTGAGTAGGTCTAGATGAGTCTCTGTTTTATGTTTGTCTTGGTTGCTACTCCGACTACAGCAACTTTTAAGGTTACCTTGTTATGCTTGAGTAGGTCCAGATGAATCTTTGTTTGACTTATGTTTTATGCTTCGTTGTAAGTGAACCTCAATTTGATGTTGACTTTTGTTATGCAACAGAATTCTTGTGGTGTAATTTTTCTGAGTTCATATTAGGAAATTGGTGTTTGATGTTGGGTGTATGGCACTTTTTTTTTTCTAAAAAAAGGGTTCGTGGTGCTTAGCTTTTGCTCTTCAAACATCAGTTTTGCAAAACTAGTGATGAGGCAAAAGAAAACGCAGTAAAAAATGTTGAAGAAATAATAATTGTAACTATCAAGTATAGGGTATCAACTAGCTATCAAATGTTCTTTAACAATTAAACCAAACAAGACTATATTACCATTTTACCTTTTGATTTACATAACACTGCATGCCATTGCCAATCCTCAATCCTTGCTTATTAGTGAGCATATACATAAATTAATGGAGCATACAAACGTACAGTAGGCTTCTGTCCTAGTGCTACTCATCCAATTTGATACATCAAATGCTTTAGATATGTATATGCTTGCTATCATCGAAACTTCTATTGATTGTTATCCTTTTGTTGGCATCTCCAATGTCGAAAACAAAGGAATCTGAATCACCTATTACCAAGAAACTGAGATTCATATTTGATGCATGGGGCTAATCTACAGAGATGAAGCAAAGACGACGGAGGTCAACATAGCCTGACAGCACCGTACGGTTTCTTTCTTTAACACTAGTCTGATATATGACCCTGCAGGTTATAACATCAAATTTGAGATATCCACTCAATAGGATGGAAAACTGGTAAAGTTGCATGTTGATCTCAGGATTTTGTTAATGGCAACAAGAAATTGTACCTCAAGCCACATCTCAGTAACCAAGGTTTCACCAGGGTACACGTGTAAAAGGAATCGACCAAATATACCTTTCACCATAGTTGGATCTCCTTTGCATATAGATTTGATGATGGTCCTAACTGCATACCCTAGAGTGCACAACCCATGCAAAATTGGCCTTGAGAATCTGTCAACAATGAGGAAAAATGTCACCAACAAGAAGTTAAATAGGGGCCTGTGGTCATCCACAAAAGGGAAACTAAACCCAATACAGCCAAAACCACAACAGGAGCAAATACCTTAAGGAATCATGGAAGTCATTACAGCTCCAAAAACAACTCTCATTCATACATAAAAAATAATGATGCTTCATGTCAAAAGTATGAAAAGGATGAATTCTCTGTTCTTAGGATTGCTTTGTCATTATTCATTCTGCTCAGGTCTCTTCATACCTAACGACTAAAGTTTGGACAAAGTGGGTAGCATTATTGAAATAAAGCAGTTTGCACTAAAGAGAGATGCCTCAACCTCAGACCAACTTTTTGACGACATAAGGCATAGAATAGATAGTTGACCTCTAATGCCTTCCCACGAGATGATGTTGAAGTAGTGGTAGAGTTATTTGCCTACAATTAGTATTAACTTCTTACTAGTTATTGATAACCCCCTACTCCACAATTTTGAAAGGCAATCATTGGGCTTGAAACTGTACTTTTTATCTTTAAACTAGAGTCATAGAAGCAGAACACAGAAAATAGAAAGATAGCACTTTAATGAAACGGAAGTTTAGCAACAGTGTTGTAGCAAAATAAGGCACCAACCCTGCAACTTTTGCAACCATAGGATCTGCATGTAGACTATTGTAGTCACCAGATAACCTATATAGCAATGCCTGCAAAAAGAATTAAAGAAGAATGTGTAAAGAATGTAACTCATGTTCCTTCAAAGAAAGAAATTGACATTTGAGTCAAGATCCACAGTATGAATTACAATTCAAGAAGGGTCAAAACTAGAAATCATATGCTACATGCCTGAGCAGGTTGGGTGCAATCTTCAAACACTGCAAAAGGTTGACTTTTGGAGATTCTCACAACTGAAGACTGGTTGGCTGAATAGTTTGAATAAGAATATGGACATGGTGGATTTGAGAAGCCACCAGCACCCCGAAGACAGGCAGTCATCCTAAAATATCATCTTAGCAAAGTATAGACAACGGCAGTCCTGGGTAGGACAGTACAGAAAAATAACTCACCGGTTCATGCATAGTAGTTCACCAGACTCTTTCTCATAACTTCTGGTTTCAAGCTCAAGAATAGCAGCTTTACCTGAAAATATAGCAAGAAGGGGAAAAGGTAATCGATATCGTATACACAGGAGCAACAAACAACTCATCATGTTAACAAGGAGAAATTAAAAATTTGCTTCACATTTTCCAACTTTTTCGAGATATCAACAAATAGGGGAGTAACTAACAACTCTCTGTACTAAATATACACATATGTTGACCAAGGAACCATGTATTCTTTTTATCACAACCTATATCCAAATTGCCCAGCTCTAGTACATTTGAGGATGTCAACAAGTAGACAACAATCTTGGAATCAGCACAAACCTTTATCATGTAATCCTGCAAGACTTACTTCATTACGTAGCTGCACCCAAGAAATGCCAGACAATTATTAACAGATCAGCATAAATCATAATGCATGCATGTTCATAAACTCTGTAACTTGGTTGCACACACACACACTTATACACACATGTCATAAAAAAACTAGTTACAATGCTACAAGAAGCCTGGTTTGAAGTTTATACGGCTTTCTAAAGATTGACTTCTGTTTGTTTATCGAAAATAAAAAATAACCTCACTGAAATTTGTAAAACAAATATGAAGAAACTCCAAGTCCAACCAGTTTGAAATTAAACCTAGACATGAGGAAGCCATAGATAATGAGATGTCAAGCACGTACGCTAGCTTTTGAAGGAAGTGGCTTGTTGATTTCTATGTATTGTTGTCCGTGCAACAGAAGACGAGGATCAAATCTGATAAAAAAATGAAAATCAGAAAGTCCATTAGTTCAAAAGATTCATTGCAAAATTACTCCCTTCAATATTTGAGATTAATCAAAGAGACTTACTCTAAACCTGGCACTGGCACATCGGAGCCATTTGGCAAAGACCCAAGTGAAATCAAAGCAGCAAATGTTGGCAATACCTATTACATGCCAGGAATTGGAATCACTGTTTTTAATATTAATAAGAGGTGGGATGACTTTCACACAAGTTTTACAAACCAGACTTACACATAATACTTAAATTAACAAAAGCAATTGATTAATACTTGGATAAATTGCTGCCCCTTTTCATGGTAAGCATATTTAAGCTCATCGGAATCAGTGGCGTCCCGTCCACATGCTCCGATATCCAACGCATAGAGGGCTGCATCTCTGTTCATTCATTAAATTACATATAAATTACATGAACAAAAATGAAAATAATAGATATGTAAGGAGAATTAAGGGAAATTAGAAGGTATACCGCTCAGTGTAATTGAAATCCGGCTGCGAACAAAGCGGGAATTGAGTCAATCTCAAAGAAAAAAGGGGAAGCAAATGAAGAGGATTGCAAAAAGTGGATATACCTCGGGGAATTTGTGAGAGAGAAGGCGCTGTGGATCGAAAGCTGAAGAATCCGCCATGTTAGATACTGAATTCCTCAACTGGAGCTGTTAACCCTTAGCCATTGGATAAATAATGCTAAGAAATTCAATTAGACACCTGTAATAGAAGATTGCGTCTAGGTAATGCCTTCATGCTCTGTATCCCCCTTGTGTTTATCAAGATTTTTTGTTTTTTTTTTTTAAACAGGGTTTTTGTTAAAAAAATTATTACGCATTCCTGGATATTAAAAGTTATTATTATTCAATAATTTTTATTTTTAAATTTTATATAATTTAAATTTTAAAATAAAATTTTTAATATTTAATATCATAAACATTTAAGTAGTTACTCTTTAAAAAACGAGTAAGGGATAGAGTAGATAAAAAGAAAAAAAATACAGGCACATTTATCTACCTTATAAAATAAAAAACAATTTGGGATAAGTTTTAAATAACAAGAGAAACATAACAAATATTTTAAAATAAATGGGTAGTATAAGAATATTGGCAAAATTTTACATTAAATTCTTAACTTTATTTTAAATTCTCAATTAAGATCTTAATTTTTATTAAAGTAAATAAATTTATAAATTTAATAATTTAGACAATTAATTTTTTTTATGATAGACTTAATGTATATTTATGTATTATTTATATGAATAAAATATTTATATATTATTATAAATATTAATTTTATTCATATAAATAAAGTACAACCTGATAATAAATCCATAATAAATAATAAAATTAAATAATTTAAATAATTAAATTTAATAATTTATTTACATCAATAAAAATTTAAAGGTTTAATTAAAATTTTAAAATAACATAAATTTTTGTCAAAAGTATTTTGAATTGCGACTCCCAAACCTTGTTTAACAGTAATTGCCTCGGCTTGCGTAACTGAAGAAACGGTTATAAGGTCATTTTTTCTCGCAACTGTCTCGGTTCATTTCTGATTAAAATACTAAAATCTACCTGCTCATTTTTGAACTTGAAAGGACATATCATGCGCAGGTTAATAATTTTATAAATGGGTGGATCAGGTGGTTTCCATCTTTTAATATTAATTCCTTTGTTTGTCGTGGCATGCTTTCCTCTCCTAATTTGCTACTCATGACTTGTTTGAATTCCTAAATGGAATGGGAGCTGCTCATGCTTGATGACAAAAGGATTTGACACATCCTGTGGTCGTAATCATAAGTAAGCTAACAAGCACACCTGCACACGTATGTTCTCAAGGTCAAATGCTCCAATAAAATATCTGCAATGTGGGTAAGAAGGGCTGTCTGGATCCCTTCAACCCATGAATCAATGGTAGAAATAATGATGGTAACTTTTCAATAAAAGTAGTAACTTTTCCGTTAAATTCTCAAAAAAGGTGATATTGGACGGCGTTTATTTAACACCGTTAATGCGTCTCTTTTTCTCTTCTTTCCACAGCAGGCAAGTTAAGATAAATTTGTTGATTTGTATTATTTTTAAGAAAATAATTCAAGAATAATTTTTTTATATTATATTTTAATATAATTTTATTTATCAATTAAATTATTAATTATATATATTTAATTAAAATTAATAATATTTAATACATTTACTCATTAAATGATATATAATAATTATATAAAAAATTATTTTTATATCACTACCTTTTATTTTTACTTTTTTGTGACATGTCATGAAGGATTATTTTTGCTAACCTTAAAATTTTTATTAAATAAAATACTTTGTATTTTAATAAAAAAATCAAATAGTAATTATATAATAGAAGCATACCTTTAAATGTTAAGGAATTAAATTTTTTAGTTTAAAAAAAAAATTTAAACTTAAATCTTAAATATAGTTAAATCTACTGATAAACAACAACAAATACTGCTTTATATCTCAAGTTCAAGTTAACGTTTACAACTAACACTTGAGTAAATTAATGGATGGGACCCAAAAAATCCAAATAGTCATGACAAGACAATAAATAAATAGCGCTTTAAATGATTCCCTTTCCTTCTCCCTCACGTCTCCAATTTTCTGTCAACAGATTCAAATCCACTGCAACTAAAAATCCTCAAAAGCTAGATTCATGGGATCACTTTCTGCCTTGGACCAGCCGCTGCAATATCCGATTGCTCGGAGAGACGAGTCTGTTGTCGACGACTATCACGGCGAAAAGATTCCCGATCCTTACCGATGGTATTTGAACTTGGATTTGTGTCTTATCTGTTTCAATGGAGATTTTTTTATGCGTAGTTGCGTTTCCAACTCAAAATCGATTTTCTTCGTTGTTATTGACTTCTTGTTATTGTTATTGTTCTTCTTCTTCTTCATCATCATGTTCTTCTTTTTTATTGAACTTGATTGTTCTAGATTATTCCGATTGAGGTTAATTGTTGTTAATAGGAATGTTCTTTATCTGTTTGGTTGCCAATAAAATGTTCATTTAGCTGATTTTTTTTTTTTTTTTTTT